CGTTTCCATCCCTCCTTTCCCTGGTTCCCCTCTTCTGGTTTCCCCCCACTCCGGTTCGCCCCTTTCTGCGATGCCACTGAAGGCAGCCCCCATTTCATCCCATCTTCCCCCATTCCCATTCCTCCATCCCTCAGTTTTCCCCCTCTCCCGGTGCCACCCACCCTGTGCCAGCAGCCTTCCCTTGCCTTCCCTTCCCAAACCTTCCCTTCCCTCCTCCCATATCCCCCCCCGGGCACAGACGGCCCCCCACCCACTGCCACCCACAGCCCCTGTGTGTGTGTTTGGGGTCCCCCCAGGGGGTCCCCTCAGCCCCTGTGTGTTTGGGGTCTCTCCAGGGTCCTCCCACCCCCTGTGTATGTTCAGCGTCCCCCAGGGCGTCCCCTTCCCCTGTGTGTGTGTGTGTTTGGGGTCTCCAGCCCCTCTGTGTGTGTTTGGGGTCTTTCCAGGGTCTGCCCATTTCCCGTGTGTGTGTTTGGGGTCCCCCAAGGTCCCCCCATTCTGTGTGTGTGTGTTTGGGGTCCCCCTGGGCCCCCCCAGTCTCCCATCACTGCCCCCCCCAGCTGTTCCTGCGCTGCCGCTCCTGGCGCAGCCTCAGCTCCGGCTCCGAGGGGGAGTCGCACCTGACGCGGGTCCTGCGGGAGAGGTTCCCCAGGGCCTCCTCCATCAAGGTCGTGGACATCTCAGGTAAAGCTCCTGGTTCTCCTCCTCCATCCTCCCAATTACCCTGAGGGAGCAGCGGGGCCCGTCCCAGACCCCCGGCAGGTCGGGGCTGGGGGGGCACAGCAATCCCTCCCTTTTGCTGGAGGATTTGCTGCCCGTGTCGTTTCTCAGGAGGCTGCGGGGCCATGTACGAGATCCACATCGAGTCCGAGGAGTTCAGGGAGAAGAGGACGGTGCAGCAGCACCAGATGGTCAACCAGGTGAGGGGGCTGGAGGTCAGGGGGGACCCCAAGGGGGCACAAAGGGTGTGGGGGGCACTGGGGAGGGCCCAGAGTGAGGGTGAGCAGCACAGAGCTGGGCACTCTGGGGCACTTGAACCTTCACAGATGCCTCCCACAGTCACTGCTGGACACACACACGCTGGGACTGGGCAGGGTAGTTCTTCCTTCCCGGTTCAAACCAGTTGAAAGGTGTGTGCAGCTCTGAGCTGGGGGCTCTGGTGGTGTCTGTGCACACTCAATGCCTGCAGTGCTGCACACACTGACAGGATTTGTGCTCTGCCTGCACCCAGGGAGTGCTTCACACTGTAGCCCTTCCTTTTTCCCAGTAATAACCAGTGCAGCCCTCTTTTCCCCTCCCTTCCCAGTTCACACCAGTTTAGCTCTGTGTGTGCAGCACTGGGTTGGGTGCTGTGGTGGTGTCTGTGCACACACAGTGTCTCAAGTGCTGCACACACACACTGAGAGATTCCTGCTGTGCCTTTCACTGCAGCCCTTCTTTTCCCAGTAATAACCAACGCAGCCCTTTCCCCCTCCTTTCCCAGTACAAAGCCGGCCCTTCCCAATAAATTCTGGAGCTGTGGGTGCTCAGAGCTGTGCAGTTGTGGGCTCTGGGGGTGTGTGAACACACAGTGCCCAGCTAAAAGTGGGTGTTACAGGCACAGTGCTCTGCACAGAGAGGATCAAATGCTGTACAGGGTGGCTAAAACTGCAGCATTTCCCCTCTAACGAAGTGTAGCCCTTTTTTGCCTCCCCAAAGCCTTTCCCTTTTTTCCCTAATCATTATTGAGGAAACAGTGAAGCCCTTCCTGTGACAGTTCAGGTGATGCTCCGTGAGTGCAGCACTTTGTGGGCGCTGTGTGTGCACAGACACCCCCTCGTGCCCCGCTGTGAGGGCAGCCAGCACAGCCCACCTTTCCTGGGAATAAATAGCGGCCATTCCTTGTTTTTCTCCTCATAAATAGTTCAGGAGGTGTCTGTGTGTCACTCGTGGCTGTGTCTTGTGGGTGCTCAGTGGTGTGGGGGGTGGCACACACACAGCTGGGTGCTGAGCTCACCTGCGCAGTCCCAGTCCTGCCCACAGGGGAGCGTTTAAGAGCCCAGCCTGCCCTGGTTTTACCCCAATAATCATCATGGAAAACAAGGGCTCAGAGCTGGTGTAGCTCTGGTGTGGCATTTAAAGCTGCCTGCAGCACTTCACAGAATATCCTGAGCTGGAAGGGACCCACAAGGATCATGGGTCCAACTCCTGGCCCTGGAGGGACACCCCAAAATCCCACCCCATCCCTGAGAGTGTTTTCCAAACCCTCCTTGAGCTCTGGCAGCCTTGGGGCCGTGACCAAATCCTGGGGAGCCTGTTCAGGGTGCCCCTGACAGTGCAGCCTCTGTGGTGTATTCAGGGCTTTCGACCCTTTAGAAGGTCCCTCCCTGGGCTGGTTTGTGTGCACACACATTCCAGGTGTCTGTCAGCACAGCAATACCCGGAATTCCGTGTGTGATTCCATGTGGGACTGTGCCCTACTGTTTCCTTGATCCCAGTGACCTGACAGCCCCAAAGCTGTGCCCAGCCCCCCTGAGTGACCCCAGAGCTGTGCTTGCCTTGCAGGCCCTGAGTGAGGAGATCAAGCACATGCACGGGCTGCGCATCTTCACCTCCACCCCCAAGCCCTGAGGCTGCTCCACACCAATAAAATGCTCCAGGGCTGCTCTGGCTCTGCCTCCCTGGATATATAAACTTCAGCCAGTGTTGTGTTTTCAATCAGGGTGCCTGTGGGATGGGGGAAGAAGAGGAGGAGACCCCCCTCTTCCTCTGAAAGAAGAGCAGGAAGAAACTTTATTATTGCCTTGCCATACAGGAGGGTCCCTCATGTCCCCCCCCATCCATGGGACACCCCAGAGCTGCTCCTCCCTCCCAGGGACAGGGACACCCCCCTGGGACCAGGCACTTCTTTCCCCCCCTCGGTGCTGCTGCCAAGGGGAGCTTTAAGGCTCTGGGCCAAAGTGCACCTCTTATCCTAAAAAAGCACTTCCAAAAATAAGCTGAGCCACTCTCAGCCCCGGCCAGGCGGCTGCAGAGCCCAGAGGGAAACTCTGGGAGCAGGAAGCAGCTGTGCAGGGCTTGGAATGTCACCCTGTGAGGGACAAAACCTGCTCCACCTTCACCCAGCCCACAGCTGTGGGGCAGAGGAGCCCAGTGGGGGCTGCACAGCAGGAGTGGAGCCACTTGGTGTGTCCAGCATTCCTGGAGCCAAGCGCTGAGGTGGCTGAAGAAGAAGCAGAAAGGAGAGGCCAAAAGGGTCCCCCCCGGAATGTTTTATCTGTCCTTGGAGCCCAACTTCTCAATCAGTTCCTGCAGAGGAGCCAATTCCCTCCTGTCAATCAGGTTGAACTCCTGGCAAGGGAAAAGAGACAGAAAATTAAAGGCAGCTCTCAAAGAGCTGCTGGAAAACGTGGCTGGTCACCCTGGAAGGCACCGTGTGGCAGCTCCTGGGAGAACCACAGAGGAGCAGCCACCTCTCCCTGTTCTCTGGGGAGAAATCCAAGTGTTTCTGGGCAACAAAAGTTCTGCCACGTTGCTGTGCACAGAACAGGAAAAAAAAAGGCACTGGTGCTGCTACTTTTGAGTCGATTCTTAATCTGCAAACTCCCCCAGGTTCTGTTCTAAGCCTGGGTTTGTTGCTGCAGGTTGATAAGTGAAACCTGAGAGGGAAACTCAAGCATTCACAGCCAACCCAGCCCCACTTCCTGGAAAAAAAACCCACAAAAAGCCCAAGCCACAAAGAGCACAGCTGGGTGCAGAGGGGGGCTGGGTGTTATCTCCCAGCACACACCACAGCCGCCCATCTTCAGGGAAGGGCTTAACATGCAGCTCCCTTTCAACGGGGAACAAGAAAGCCCTTCCCAGCTCACCTGCACGAAGAAGATGAAGTGCTTGAAGGAGGTGTTGAGATGGGCCTCCTCCTGCAGCCGGATCACCGAGTCGAAGTGCTGGTGGTAGATGTGGGCGTAGACACGGAAGAGCCGCTTCAGGATCGTCTTGGCCACCGACATGAAGTTCTTGGGAAAGGGGACCCCTGGAATGCACAGACACGCAGGGATGAGGCTGTGGTTGCTCAGGAGGTGCCATCTCGTGTCACACAGCACCACTCACCGATCTTGGAGGGGAAGAGGGTCTCGTCATCCAGCTGGTCCTGCACCCACGTCATCAGGTAGTCGATGTATTTGGGCGCCGAGCACTTGATGGGCTTCTTGATGTTGGTGCCGTCTGCCCAGTGGTACTCGTACCTGGGACAGGGGGACAGGGCTGCTGTGCTCCCGCAGGGAAAAGGGCATGTTCAGGCCCTGTGACCTCCTCCTTATCTCAGGAAGGGGCCACACTGGTACCCTGGGGAGCGAGAGCAGCGCTTGGCCTGTTTGAGTTTGTCAAGCCCAACACAACAGCACTGACCCCTCCAGGGCTTTGCCCTCCAAACTCACAGGATACGCTGTGTTGGATCCCATCAGGATCAGAGTCCAGCTCCTGGCCCTGCACAGACACCCCAACAATCCCACCCTGTCCCTGAGAGCGTTGTCCAAACAACCCTGGAGCTCTGGCAGCCTTGGGGCTGTGACCAAACCCTGGGGAGCCTGGGCAGAGCCAACCACCCTGTGGGGGAAGAACCTTTCCCTGAGATCCAACCTGACCCTGCCCTGACACAGCTCCAGCTGTTCCAGGGTCCTGTCCCTGCTCACAGAGAGCAGAGATCAAAGCTGCCCCTCCACTGCCCCTCTAGATGTTAAAAATGAGCCTCAACTTCATGGCAACCTCCTCTGACATCATAATTTCCTTAAAACGACCCCAAAACTGCCCAAAAGGAAGGCCAGGGCCATCACCCACCATCTGGATAAATTCCCCTCTGGCTTCCAGACACCCTCCAGGAATTTGGCACTCACACAAGACTTCTGTGATAGACTATCCCAGGAGCTGGGAGCCTCCAGATCCAGTCCCCACATGTGCTCATCAATCCCAGGGCCCCTCCAAACCAGGGCAGACATGGACTGACAGCACACAACCCACTTTCTCCGAGATCCTCCACAACATCCCTCAAAAGCAGGAACCCCCCCCACGTTTTGACTGTCACCTCTTGCTCTACAAGTGAAAACAGTGCCCTTCAAACATTTCCTGTTGTCACAGGAAATGGCCCCAAAAATAGAGGCAGGAAGTGGCAGTGTTGGGGAGGAAAGCAAGGCAGGATGTTCCAGGGCACCTGCAAGTGCTGCCCAAAGCTGGGCTTAAAAACTGAGAGCCCTGAGCAACCTTGCAGAGAAGATTCCCAGCTGGAGCTTTGCCTTGGTAAAATATGAGTGCAGAGCCAACAGCTGGTGTTCTCCCTGCACGATTCACCCCTAAAATCAATGAGGTGGCCCCAAAATGTTCCTTCACTATCTTCTTTCCACCTTCCACAATGCTCTGACCTTCTCCTACGCAGCAGTAACACCTTGTCAGGAGGCTGCAAGTGTCTCCCAAGAACCACAGGCCTGGGAATGTCCAAGGCCAGGCTGGAGCAGCCTGGGCTGGTGGAAGGTGTCCCTGCCCATGGCAGGGGGTGGCACTGGATGAGCTTTGAGGTCCCTTCCAACCTAAACCATTCCACAATTCTCTACGACTTCGACAACAAGACCAGACTCTTCCAGTTGAGTTGGATTGAGTTGGATCTCTCATTTTCTTTAAAACCAACTTTTCCAATCTCTTCAGTTTCCAGGCATAAGGGCCTGATGGACAGGGAAAAGAGGGTGTGACCACAAGCAGGTGAACACCACCAAAGGAGTGCAGTGCTGGGCCTTGAGCCCATGGGGGCACATCCCATCCTCTTTTTAGCTTCTTTCTCCACCCTGCTGGGTGATCTGTGCACTCACCTGTGTCCCCACAGAGAAATGTGGCCCCAGCCCCCAGCAGAGCCCTCACCTGGGCCCTGCAGACATGACAGGGCAGCTGCTCTCTGTGCAGAATTCTGTGATGGTCCCGTACAACATGTTGATTTGGTTGAAGAAATCCACAGCTGGGAGGGAAAGGCAGCAAGGTGACTCAAAGTGTGAACACAAAACGGTCTCTGAGGATCCCTGTGCACCCAAAAAACTCTTTGAAGAACCAAACATCCCCTTCCATGTGATGTCACCTGGCTCATGACTTTGAAACAGTTCAACCATCCAGGAACTGGAATTTCACTGTCAATTTTTCACTGCCTGGCTCCTTTCCCACCTGACTTGCACAGCATGAAGCTCCACTTAGCATTCCATATCCTTGGAAATAACAGCTTTGGGTTCCAGGCTCCCCAAAACCCTGACTGATCTGAAAAAACAGGAGAGACTTCCCTTAGGCTGAACTCTCCCTGCTCTCCTTCAAAACTGCTTTTTCCTCCTCTAAACTCCAAAGAAACAAAGTCCAAGGCCACGGGGAGCAGCTGCTAAAAGCAAACTGAACTTGTAGGATTTGAAAACAGAAGACAAGAAAGGAGCCCTCCAAAGCTGGAGTTGAGTGGAAATACTCCACTTCCTCCCTGAATTATCTGGTGCAGCTTTTGCAGACAACAACAGGAACTTTCTAACTCCAAAAATAACCCTTCACAAACCCAGCCACCTCTGAGAGTCTGAGCTCGTGAAAACCCACCCCAAAACCACGGCGGGGCAGGTTTGTCTCTTCCTTTTTTCCACTGAGACTCGCTTTCCTTTTATTCCACCCAAGCAGAGTTGCCTGGGGAATTCCCAGGTTTGTGTAGGGATACACCCCGAGGTTTTTGGGGTTTTCCCCCCTCAGAGGACTCACTGTTGACAGCAATCCACTCGTTGAGGTCCTCCCCCTCGGGCAGCATCACGGCCTGGCGCAGGTTCCCGCTGCCCAGCGTGGCCTCCGCGTGCTTCAGCAGCTCGTACTGATGGGAGCCCTCGGGAATGTTCTTCTTGGGCTTGAAGGTTTTGGAGGAACGACTCCCACTGGAGACAGAGGAGACACGTCCAGTTAGTCATGGACTCATGGAATCACTGAGGTTGGAAAAGGTCTCCAGATCATCAAGTCCAACCGTCCACCAGCACCACCAAGTTCACTGAACTGAGCCCTCAAGTGCCACATCCACATCCCAGGGACATTCCCAGGAACATTCCCAGGGACATTCCCAGGAACATTCCCAGGGACATTCCCAGGGACTGTGATTCCACCACTGCCCTGGGCAGCCCATTCCAGTGCTTTGCAACCCTTTCTGTGGAGAACTGTCCCCTAATATCTGACCTAAACCTCCCCTGGGGCGAGGGGAGGCCAATGACCTGAAGCCATTTCCTCAAGTCCTTTTGGAAATAATAGAACTTGGAAATAGTATATATTTGGAAATAATGTATAATATTATATGATATCACTAAATATAATAATCGATATTAATTATAATAATGTATTAATTATAATAATCATATATTATATTATTATATATTATATCATTACATTATATATTATTATATATTACATTATTTTATATAATGTATTATATTATTATATATTACATTATATATTACCTAATTATTATATAATTATTATATTATATAATTATTATATTATATAATTATATGCCATATAATACATTATATAATACTATAATTATATAATATATAATAATATATAATTATATAAGGCAATTATATAATTATATTATATAATAATATATACTACATAATATATATTATATTATATATAACATAATATATAAAATAATATA